ATATATATATATATATATATATATATATATATATACATATATCTTAGAAAACATATTTTGTTATATTGGAAAAATAGCATTTTAACAAATATAAAAAAATATAATTATATTTTTCATTCAAAATACTTCTATATTATCATCTATCATCCATAAAATATTTTAATTTGCTGATCTTATATAAATATGTCACTTATTATTCCTTATAAAACATATATATAGAAATTATCACAAAGGGTAATACAATAAATCCAACAATAAAATATTAACATAAATTTTAATATAAATCTTAATTAACAATACTTAAGTGTCACTCTCTCTCTTTGTATATATGATACTCTAGTTAACTTGGCCAGTTCCCTCTATCATTTAATATTATATTTAAATTTTATCTAAAAATAAATATATTATCGATTATCTTGTCAACACATTTCTAAAAAGATGTTATATAACTAATATTATTGTAATTAATAATGTATGAAGAGTTGTTATATATATATGGTACAAGGCTCTCTTAAATATGATGCATATGTTTTTGTGGCTACAAATGAGCAGTTAGGGAATAATGTTCCATTATCGTGATTCTAATTAATCAGTATGAGCATCAACTATTTATTAATATGATTTAATATTAATTAATATAAATAAGTCATGATTTCCGACGGAATTTCTGATGGAATATCTGACAGAAATTATCCGTCAAAAATTTGGGTTTTTCTTGTAGTGATAATATTATTAATAATTGTATGTAATACTTATGATGATCAAGTAACATTTTAATAAATAAAATATAGTTAAAATGATCATATAGAAAATAAGGACTAAAAGCAATAGTTACGATTTTAGAGAAATGATAAACAAATAACTAATGTGCTAGAATGATTAATTAAACAAGTCAACTTTAAATAATTTCACAAATATAGTTTGACTCATTTACATTCTTAAAGTCATCATTATTACTATTATCATCATTATATCTGACATCATTATCATTGTCATTATTGTTATCACTACTATTATTATAGTTAAGATTTGTAAAAGATAAAAATATGTATTTTACACTAGAGCTCTAAAATTAACTTATTTTTGATGAAAATGTTTTTGAGTTGTTTTTCTTTCATAAGAGGATTTTTTTATAAATATTTTTAACTTCTGATCTATTCAATTTATGTTTATCATACTTAATTTTTTTATTCAATTTGTTTTTATCATACTTATTTTTAAATTAAATTCTAATAACTAATATTTTAGCTTGTATATTATATATGTTAAATATTTATTATATATAACTAAAATTTATAACAAATTATATAAAATGAATATTATATTTAAATGTATAGATTATATTACATTTAAAATTTGAATAAATAAATATTTTTAAACAAATAAATTATATACAAAATTATTTTGAATTATTGATAATTTGTTTTAAAATATTATAATTTAATTTAAAAATATGATAAATATAAATTAAAGTAGATAAGGATTTGAAAGAATTTTTTAAAAATCTTATCATGACAAAACATACGAAAAACACATTTAATAAAGAGAATTTTTTTAAAATATTTTATTTGTATTTAATATATGAGAGTGGATTAAAAATAATATTGTATCATATATTTATCATAAATTTAAAATATGATTTTTATGTTTAAAATATATATATATATATATTATCCAAAATTTAAAAATAATAAGATTTACATATAATTTATTAAATATTTTAATTGCATGTGATAAACCATTTACTGATAATAGCAATACATTAATTAAAGCGTCTCGCTCAATCCAAATGGCAAATGCCGGTCTTTGCTTACCCATTAAATTAAAGCAACAAAGTCAATCTAAACGTGGCCTTCTCTTTACTTAACCAGTAAAGTAAGTTACTCGATCCAAATAATAAGTACACTAAATCAACTCTTTATAAGACAATATCCAACCCAAACAAACCAAAGTAAATTTTTGTTAAGCTAAAAAAGAGAATCCAAATCCTGATAAAATCCTAAAACAACAAGATAAAATAGTTATATATAGTGTGTTTGGATGAAAAATTTTACAAATTTAAGGAATTTTAAATTTTTGATATTTAAATTACTTTGATTTCAATTTCTATCATTCTTAAAATATTTTGTTTAGATGAGTCAATTCAAATTTTTTAAATTTTAAATTGTTAGGTTGAATATAATAATTTGATTCTATCATAGTAAAATTGATTTTAAAAATATATTTATATGTTGAGATTTTTAAATTAAATTTTATAAAAATAAATATTAATCCATTTTTAAATATTTAAAAATTTTAAAAATTAATATTAGATAATATTTAATAATTTTAAAAATATTTTTGAATATCTAATAATTAAAAGAATGAAGAGATAAGATAAAATATATAGGTGAAATAAGAAAACAAATATGAGGAATTTCAAATTCTCCCATTTTTGGGAGAATTTGAAATTCTACTACTTGAAGGAATTTCACAAATGCTTGGATTTCAAATTCTTTGTAAATTCCTCATCTAAACAAAGCATTTCACCTCAAAGAATTTAAAATTCTTCAAATAAATGAATTACCCTATATAAATTCCCCATCCAAACATATCATTATGGTGTGTTTGGATGAAGAATTTTACAAATTCAAGGAATTTTAAATTCTTAGTATTTGAATTATTTTGATTTCAATTTCTATCATTCTTAAATTATTTTGTTTAGATAGGTCAATTCAAATTTCTTAAATTTTAAATTATTAAATTGAATATGATAATTTGATTCTACCATGGTAAAATTGATTTAAAAAATATATTTATATGTTGAGATTTTTAAATTAAATTTTATAAAAATAAATATTAGCTAATTTTTAAACATTTCATAATTTCAAAAATTAATATTAGATAATATTTAATATATTTTAAAATATTTTCAATAATTAAAAATATGAAGAGATAAGATATAAGATAAAATATATAAGTAAAATAAGAAGAAAAAAAATATGAGAAATTTCAAATTCTTACTTTTTTTTTTAGAGAATTTGAAATTATACTATTTCAAGAAATTTTACAAATGCTTGAATTTCAAATTTTTTAAAAATCCTTCATCCAAACAAGACATTTCACCTCAAAAAATTTGAAATTCTTCAAATAAATAAATTACTCTATTTTAAAAATTTGTCAAAACTGGTACATACCGAAGAAAGCCTTGTTTGGTTCTATAAAAATAGATTGAAAAAATAGAAAAAGAGAAAAATATTGTATTTTTACTATTTTCTTAGAGGATAAAAAAGGTATTTTTGCAGGACATATATTATCCTTTCCTCTCAAATTAAAATGAACTAGGGTGGAAATTGTCTCTTTATCTTTACGTTTTCTGTTTACTTCTTAAAAAATATAATATAAAAATTAGAATAAGAAAAAAAAATGTTAGATTAAAAAAATTAACCTTTTGATTATTATAAAAGTATTTTTATATAATTTATTTATTTATTTCTATTGTCTTTTACACCCCTTCAAAATAAGCAAGGGAAAATTTCTTCACTTTCTTTTTCCTATTTCTATCTATCCAATTAATATAATATATTTTCTCCTTTTATTTCTTACTTTTTCTAGTTTTTCTCTTAATCCAAACAAAACATGAAAATGAAATTAGAGGAATAGCTAATGACATTGTTTTTATTTGAAATAAATCATAAATTAATAAAATATCTAATTTAAAGATATCAAAATAGATCCATGTATGAGTAAAGAAAAAAAAAAAAAAAAAGGAGGGGGAAAAAGAGTGAAGGGGTGGTGACTTTGTTGACCAATGACCACACACCAAACTGTGTCTGTGGTCTCTTCCTTTGCCTTGCGTCTATCGAATTCTCTCTCTCTCTCTCTCTCGTCTCTGCAATCTGCATCTGCATTTATATCATTATCGTTCGTTCATAGAATTAGAAATGCAGAGCAGAGGATCGAGCCATAGACTCTCGAGTATGGGTAATCGATCTCGAATTCCCGCACTCGTCATTTCCATGTTCGCTACCTTCGCTTCCATCTACGTCGCTGGAAGGTTCATCGCTTTCCCTTCCGCTTCCTTCCAATACCGTTACGCTTAATCTTAATTATTCTCAATTCTCCTTTTCAGGTTATGGCAGGACGCACAGAATCGCGTTTATCTCATCAAAGAGCTCGATAGGATCACTGGCCAGGTCACTCTCTACCACTCACTCCTCACTCCTCACTGATCTGTAATCCTTCTATTTTTTTATCACTGCAATTTCAATTACGCCGTTATCGCCATTTCCGTACGGATGAATCACCGACCTATTGCGCCGGATGTAATTTTCGCGATTGCGGATTGAATTATTGCGTTTTCATGATTTAATGTGATTGCGGGCGTTTCAATTTGATCGCGTGTGTGTTATTAAGTTATTTATTATTATGGAATTGGGGTTCACTCTATGTAGGAGATCAACTGTATTATATAGTTTCTCATGTTAGGAGATGGACACTTGTCTCTACTTCTTGTTCTGGCTAACTTAACCGCGAGGTTTTCATTTTAGGGTCAATCTGCTATATCTGTGGAGGATACGTTGAAGATCATAGCCTGCAGGTGAATTAAATTTACTTGAGTGTGCTCCTTTAAAAATAAATATCGAAAGGTTTTTGATTGCCATTGGATTTTATTAATGATCTCCTTTGGATGTTGAGTTATTTTTTATGTGATTTTACTGTTTAATTATGCAATTGTAGGGAACAACATAAGAAGCTTGATTCCCTTGAGACGGAACTTGCTGCTGCTAGGCAAGAGGGTTTTGTTTCAAAGCCCTTGGTGGAGACTAATGGAACTTACTCTACTAAAAGGCCGTTGGTCGTGATAGGTATACTGACAAAGTTTGGCCGCCAGAAGAATAGAGAAGCAATCCGCAAGGCATGGATGGGAAGTGGTAATTATATTCTTTGCTTTCTCTTCCCGAGTGCCTATGTTATGAGTATACATCTGTCTATGCATTAGTTTCAAAATGAATAAAATAGCAGTAAATATGAAAGTGTAAGGAATTTATGTGAAGCCTAAACTCTAAGTACTTATATACCACTTTATCGTGAACTGACATGAGTTAAAAAACATAAAATTATGGCCTTTTTATCCTACTGTTGCATGGCACCTGTTGATAACGAGTTAAGGTACAAATGAAGAGACAAGAGGAGTTTTCAATTTTTATTTTTGTAACTCCAAGGAGAATGCTCTTCTCTTCATTTCCACACTAGAAAGAAGAGTCGGTATCCTCTTATTGATTTATTTTAATTCCTTTAAAGTCTAGTATTGATTTTGACTCAAGAAACCTATATAATGCAACTACGTTTTATTTAGTGTATCACTTGTAATGATTTATTTTGTTTATTCTGAACATAGTTATTTCTAGCATCATAAAATATTTGTTTTTCTAATGTATCATGCTTGGATAGTTTGTTTACAGCTTCCTGAACTAAGATTGTGGTTCAGAAGAGGTTTTAATTTCAAAGCACTATCTTTATAGGTGCAGCTTTGAAGAAAATTGAAGATGGAAAGGGCATCATTGTGCGATTCGTTATTGGTAGAAGGTTCAAATTTCTACTTTTAGACTATTTTTTCGGGGGTGGGGGAGGGAATTGGTTGTGTCAATTGGAACATTTCCTATAAATTACATATACTTTTGCAGTGAAAATCGTGGAGACAATCTGGATAAAGACATTGATCGTGAGAATAGGATGACAAATGACTTCTTAATTCTTGTATGTTTAATTAATTTAAGGATTTTATCTCTTCATATGCTTTGAAACTTTTTATTTTATTAGAACTGCATGTTTTACAGGATATTCTAGGTATATCATTTGCCATGTGCTTTTCTGTGAAGATCCTAGAGAATTGTCACATTCTGAATTTGGAAATAGAATCTCCAAAAATAATTTGTAGATTAGATTTCAATAATGTTCCTCCCCATGCAAAATTTGAATCTACCAAGTTGATAAAAGTTAGAATAGGAGAAAATATTACCACTGAGCATTCTGTTGCGAGCAATTTGTCACCAGTTGTGCTGGTCAAGTTAGACCCAGCAATTGCAAAAAAATCTGTGTTTCAATTAACTAATTTATTTCACTGAGCAGTTCATTATTTTATTCGTCTGTTTTCAATGGTTAAAATCAGTTTGTCAAAACTTAGAAGCCTCATATTTGACTCTATATTTGAGTTGACACCAATCTTAAGTTGTCATCAATTCTTATATGCTCGCTATACTCTATAGGTTTTCTTTAGACAGTAGTTTAGATAAGCAGGCAGATATGTTTTATATGTTGTGGTTGATTTTAAGTGGGTAATAAGGTTCAAGAGCATAAGGTAGTTAGCTCACCACCTTCAAAACTTATGCTGACAGGATAATCATGTTGAAAAAAATGATGGATTCCCAAAGAAGGCTAAATTATTCTTTGCTCATGCTGCAGACAAATGGGACGCTGAGTTTTATGCTAAAGTTAACGATGATGTTTATGTAAATATTGGTAAGTTTTTCTTTGACTGGATGAGGTGATAATTGTTAGTAATGCAATTTATCTAATATTTGTTACTGTAATATGTTTCTTTTATCTCTTAGTTGAACTCCTCGGCTAAATCATTCCATGCATTAGAGAACTCCATTGGTACAGATGGGAATGTGATCATAATCATCATATATGACCTTGAGTTTCCTGTTGTCAGCATATGGTAGTGCTTAATAACATTTTTATTGAATTATGGATATTTTACCATTTCTTTTATCCTGTAACTGTAGTCTATTTGGATGGGTTTTCCTTACAAGTGAAAGTGCTTTTTATCATTAAAAAGTTATTTTCACGAACTTAAGAGTCTTTGGATAATTGGATGGGCTTCTAGGAAAAAGGAGAAGCCCTAAAAAATCGCTGTTTTTTTTTGTCAAGCTATGTTTTCTATCTTCTTAAAAAATTAACTGCCTTAAAAGAGAGAGAAGAGGATTGAAAATCAGGATTTAACATTTTTATGGATAAAATTACCCCTGATGAATTTTTGTTACTGCAACCACTATCCTCACCCCCATCTTCCTTCCTGTCTCTTCTCTCGACATGCCCCATAGCTTGCTTTTTCTGCATCTTGATTTGGAATTGTGGCTAGCTATTTGTTCCTCATTCCTGGTATGCCTCTCTTCTTTTTTATTATTCTAGTCTCTTGGGTTTGATTTGATTTCTAGTTTTTGTTGCCGTTGTTTGTTGCAGATATTTTTTGGAAAAATAAAAATAAAAGGCATACCTTTGTTTTTTTTTTAATCTTTTTCTTTCAACAAATTATGGAAGCATTGAATTTTTTGTTGACTTTTATGCGATGGAGTGCCCATTAGCCTGCAAGGAATTGTCTACTGTAATGTTTACTCTCAGTGTTGGTTGTAGCTAATAATCAGCCATAAGCTTAGTCTATGAACATACTAAGGAATAATTAACCATATTTTTAATTAGAAGATATGTTTAAAAAATTATAATCATTATGCAAGTTCTTTTTTTCTTTTCTTTATGAAAGGTTGAATTACCGTTTTTTTCTTGAAAACTAAAAATAATAGTTTATCGAGAAAGTTATATCATTGGATCACTTTTTTGGCTTGAAGTCTTTCATGCATATCTGGAATTGCAGATTGCATAGGCCCTCCTGCAGTTGTAGGTTGAAAATTTTTGGTATGATGCTATGAGACTATGGTGTACTTTTCTGTCATCTTTATATGTTCATCTTTTAACCAGTTTAGATAGTCTTGTTTGGAAAAATATCAATATTGTTTTTTGTCCTTTTCTGTTTTTCTTAACCTGCAAATACAAATGTATATTCCTTCTTATATGTTATAAATCAGCACTTCATGCTTTTTGGTATGTCAAGAACTTCATACTTACCTAGCTTTAATACATTCAAACTCCATGTGACAGTTTTTAGTAGCTTAATTCAAACTTTCTCCATCTTAGTTGGTTGCATATAAGAACCTTGGATGCTATCGTGAGAAATATTTTGTTCTTCCTATGTGGCTCTAATAGACTGTAATCTCCGTCAGAAATGCACATGCAAAGCATGTTAAAAGACCCGCTCTCAGTTTTAACCATAGTGGTCAATAGCACGCAATAGTGAGATAGCTGATCAGCTATTGGTCACAATGGGATTCAAATAGCAGAGAGGTTTTTAATAGCGCCCATGGTGTCTGCCATAGCAGTCATCCCACTTCCAGCTATAGTGTTTTCAATGTTACCTGTGTCACTATTTAAGATTGATAACTATGGTTTTAACATTTAGGCACGGGTCAACAGCTATAGGCAAAGCAGTCGTTGTATTGATACAGACTCGCTTAATACCTTTGATGGGGATACACATGCCTTGCTGGGAAAAGTGATGGTTTGAGGCTTTGAGCACAATATAAAATTTGAATTAAATTTTTATTTAATAATATTATTTAATCGTTTTGAAATAAAAATTATCTAATTGTTGTTAAATCTATTTTTGATTTTTTTTTTTTAAGATGTACAAAAAACACTTTCCTTATCTACATATTTCTTTGGAAGTTCTGCCATTATTGTAAATTTATAAGAAAGAAAAAAACACATTTCCTGTCCGAACAGCTTACAATCACTTTCAGAACTGTATTTTACTATTGTATTACATGCAAAATAGCTTTGGCATTTCATGAAAAGCTCTACAAAGAAGAAATGACTTTTTGTGCTATCTTAATATATATTGATACTGAAAGAGTTTCTGCCTGGAAACTGCACAGTGCACACTAACAAAGTGCTTAAGCTACAGAATTACCAAGTTCTAAATAAACTATAAAAGCACCATTAAGAGTAGGGGGAATATATTAAAAAAAAAAAAGGAGGAAAAAGTTATCTAAATCAATACTGTCTCCTAAGTCTTAACTGTGAATTGGTCCTTATATATTCTCATCTTCTAAGAACAAAAAGTTTGCATTCTTCCTTTTAATTGTGCTATAATATTTTATTGTGTGCTTTTCTTCTCCCGTGTTTTATAAAATTCCAAAGTTTTTTCCCCATTTTTAGATGTGTATATATGTCTTACAAGTTACAACCTGTTTCATCCTGCACAGATGCCTTGGGAGCTACACTTGCTGCGCATTTGGACAAACCTCGTCTTTACATGGGATGCATGAAATCAGGCGAAGTTTTCTCTGAGCTGTGAGCCCCTTGAGCTGTTTAAAATGTTATCTGCTTTATAGAGAATATATTTTATGATTCTCATACCGTTATCTGTGAAATATGACAGGAACCATAAATGGTATGAACCAGAGTGGTGGAAATTTGGTGACAAAAAATCGTAAGCAAGCAACCAGTTATTTCATATGACTGAACAACTGCATTAGTTTTACTGCAGACATGTATAAATTAGTGATGTATGACAGTATTGAATAGCTGCAAGTGGATTTTTAGTGAAACAAAGTGTTTTTGCATGGTGCTCTGCAGCTGAGTCTTTTGTTCCCATAAGTAAAAACTGCGTTTTTTACTTTGCTTCATAAAACAATCTTTACTGGAGAAGCCTATCATGTGACAAAATATACATTATAGTGCCAAAATAATAAGGTATAGCTCGACTGTAACCCTATAATGTGCTAGTTGAGGTCAAAACCAAGAAGAACTGGAAAGTGAGTTGAATATTTTATGTATCTAGCGTTTTGGGGCACAACTCTGAATACACACTGATGTGCCCTAAGTATCGTAAATATTTTTCTTCATGACATCTATTTTTCTTCTTTTGAAATGATGATCAAATCTCATGTTCAACAGATATTTTCGTCATGCATCAGGAGAGATGTATGTTATATCACGAGCTTTGGCTAAATTTATATCAATAAACAGGTTAGATACACTCTTAGCTGCACCTATACTATTAGCTGCCGTTTATGCTTCAATCTTGAATATGTTGAGTTGGCAGATCTATTCTTCGCACCTATGCTCATGATGATGTGAGCTCTGGATCCTGGTTTATTGGGCTTGATGTGAAGCATGTTGATGAGGCAAAGTTTTGTTGCTCCTCTTGGTCAGCAGGTCTCCCTCTCTCTCTACTGGTTTAAAATTCACGACATTAGTTTTATAGCCACCGAAAAGATGGTCTGATTGTATATAAGAAATTATATACAGAATTTACTTGGCATAATTATTGACACATATACGTCAAATTTTATTTGCAACCTCAAGGTAATATATAACATGTTTTTGTTTATCAGGAGCAATTTGTGCTGGTGTTTGAGTTGATTCTTGTGAGAAGACCACCAACGTAATGCTCGGGAGTCATCAATTGTTGGAAGGTTTGCTTCCTAAGATTTTTCAATTTCAATTGGAAGCGGAGTCATTCCCGGAGATGTCTGCTAAAAAGTTGCTTCTGGCTCTTGATTTGATGTCCATCGAACAATATAGTTTCATTAGCTAGCTTATATGCACAGTTGGCAAGTTGAGCGGTTGAAGGTTTACTAGCAAAACATCGTACAGCAAATAAAATAAAAAAAATTCAGCTTGCCACCTATAATTTGGTTTATTTCATTCTATGTTTCTTTCTTTCTTTCTTTTCATGGACGTAGGGGAAGATGACTCTTAGTAGAACTTCCAAAAATGTAATAGTGATTAGTGAAAGTATTTATAGGAGTGACATGGTGGCTGACCATCTCTTTTGTAGTAAAGGGAACTTTGTTTTTGTATATGAAATAGGCAGGGAATTTTGAGTCTTAGGTTTTATTGAATCACAATTCATCATTTGATATTATTTGACTGGTCAATGGTTCGTATATTGACTTTGAATCTTGCAAATTGCAATACACAGATAAATCAGTGCGATTCAATATAATTGATATAAATAACGATTTAATTTAATTCATCGATTTACTGTTTATTGTTTTTCCTTTTCTTCCACCATTTCTTATGGAAGGAAATAAAAAATTAGATAAACTTAAATTGCTAAATGAAATTGAAACCAAATGAACTCTATTGAACTCTGAAGGTACCCTATTTCACGTTGTCACTGGCTTTTATGCATTTTGTTTGACCATTCCATTCTAATTTTTGTCTTTCAAAATAGTAGTTTCATAAACTGCCTTTAAATTTGTGATTTTGTTTGGTAAGAGTTATGGTCATATTTCCACTTATAACTTTTACATAGAGTATTATACATCGTTTGTATGATATATTTTGTTGCATTCAATATTTCTGGAAATGGAAGTGCCATTTCCTAAATTTGACAACGAAGACAAAATTCAAACAATCTTTCTTTCTGCTTTTTTATTTTTATTGAAAATAAAAACAAGAGTCGGTCAAACCAAACAAGTCTTTCATTTTTTCAAGTCCTCTATTATTCCAAATTTAATTCATAACCACCATAGCAAATCCCAAGTACTTTTTGAAAAAATTTCTTGAACGAGTTAAACATAGCTATTTCCGCGATAACGCACTCACTTCAATTGCTCTGTAGTGGCCAATGGAAGAGCTAGGAAGTTAAGGTCTTAGACAAAAGGAAACATAATAACATCTTTTAACAGGAAAGATATGACCTTTCTGAAATGAAATCTTTTAACATGCTCTATTTGTCATCTCTTAAGAACAGTGAACGCCCAATCCCACGACTCTTCAACGTATATGTATGTAAAACAATAGACAATAACAGATTGCCCGTGTTCCAACCTATGTTTGACTATTATTTATCATTATACAAAAGGAACAAACACATTCCTTGATCAATACAAGATGCCACCAACATATTACTTGAGGAGTCTCACGATGAGCCATTAAGTAAATGTGCTAGTGCCTTGTCCGTATGATTGTCATTAGTAACCAGGGCTTCGGCAACGCTATTTGATGAAAATCCCATTTCCCGCAGAAGGTTGTAACCATTGACAAACTCCTGAATCTTCAAATGAATAATACATCGAGTCAAAAAAACTAACATAAAATAAAAGAATTTTAGCAATAGTCTAAAGAAAATCATTAAACCACCGGCAGATGGTATGTAAACCAACAGAAAATACAATGATTACTTCGAAAACCATAAACATGCAGCCAATGTGATCAGCACAAACAATACAAAGAACTATTCGGTGTACGTGATTTTCAGTATGACACCCTTTTAGGACAGTTTAGTTCCTGATCATCATAAGAATGACAAAGCAAAAACCTTAGAAATAAGATCCAAGCTGGGAAAAACTCCTGAAATTCTGTCAAGCTACGAAATAACTTTCCTACAAGGTTGACAATTAGTCATATTTGAATTGGAAGCAGACTCGAGATGAGAAGTGGAAAAGCTTTAACAGAGTGCTACAAGAAGTCAACAACTAGTCTACTTGAATAGAAACTTGGTTCGAAACTCTTCCATTCAGGCTTAAAGCATAACATGCCAACCCTTATTGATCATTAACGTTTGCAAACAAAAGGAACCAGTAGACTCCACAGAACACCAAAGTTACTCTCCTTAGTTACCAACACAGGGATGAGTGATCAGAAGAAGACAATCAGATCAAGCAAGACATCCAAATTTGTCATAATGTTTAGGTAACTATCAACTTGATGGCTAACAGTAAGTTTAGTCAATAATTTGGAGGGAAATTCTGGTATTAAGGAAAGAACCATTTAGGTTTGAATAATTAAACCAGCATGGTCATTACAGATAGAGGAATGAGGATGTGAGTATGATATTACTGTTCAAAAACATAATCACGCTTTTCAGAAATGCTATTATCTGAAGCATCATGTCAATAATGAGTTACAGGGATCATAACATACTTTGGTTGGATTATCACCATATTTGTCAACAGCAATAGGAACAGCTTCACGGCTAAGCCCCATAGCTATAAATTTGCTCACAATGGGATCCAAAGCAGTAACCTGAACCAAAAAAGTTTCATTTCACACCCAGTTGGAAACAGTAGAAGATTTATCTTTATACAGAAAAACAATGTACCAAATTAATCATGAACTAACAAATAGTAAATTATAACCTCTGCTTCATAAATTCCGGGAAAAAAAATCATTAAACAGGTAACAATAGTAAAAATCAGAACCTCATGCCCTAAATCAAGAACAAACCTTTGACGTTGATGTATCAGAACTTTTAGTTGGCATATATTCTGATCCAAATTTGCTCCAATTTGGGTTATCCTTCTGTGCTTCAGCCAAAATTTTTCTCTCCAATTCAAAATCAAATTGGAAGTTGCTCCGTGGATTATCTCCAGCATGTGATGATAAATGAGGCTGCAAAATCATTAAAACCATTAAAAAATCATATTGAACTATTGAAACAAATCCAAGTGAATTATTTTGCAAGGCTTTAGTAATTTTATACAGTTGGCATGGGTAAGAACAACCGCTAAAGGAAATTTGTGCAAAAAATATGCTAAAACTAGTATGAACAAACACCATTGGATTAATGAGTATAAACAACCATATAATATTGTTTTGAAAATGGAGAGAGGTGGAGTGGAATAGATTTAAAGTCCATTATTTGAATTAAAAATAGTGAATGACATGGAATGGAAACTAATGAAGATTATTCCATTATTTTGACCTTATTTCTTATCCACTAATCCCTGAAGGTATGATGGAACTTCTGCTTCTATTTCTATTTAATTATAAATTTATCATTTTATCCTTGTCCCACCAAAACACAATAGAAGCAGCAACAAACTTCCCAGGGCTCCTGCACAACATAATCTCTCTGTTCTTTTCCTGTACAATAAAAACTTCTTTCTGGTGCATATTTCTTTCGAAAGTGCAAGCAAAGCCCCGCTACTTGCATTCAACCAAAATGTTGACATGAAATTCAGCCCATGCACAAATGGGCATTAAAACTAAAACTGATATTCAACAGGGTGCCCATCAAGCAAAAGTAATGGCTTATAACCATAGGAAATCTGTGTTAGGGATGCTTCAGCTTTGTCATTGGCCACCTATTGTTTCTTTATGTCACCATTTTTAACTTGGGAAAAGTCAGCTAGGAGTAAGTCCACTTAATTTCTACATACTTAGTATGACAGGTTCATGTTCTTCAAGAATTTGACGAAGAGAAGCAATGAGAAAAACATTATTACACCGTAGAGTAAGTTTGATATGCTACATATTCACAACTAGGGCTCACAATGAACCAAACCAACTCAAAATTAGTTATTCCCATAATTAATTTGTAGATCTTGGTTCATGAAGCTGATCTTGAGCTATATATAATCCAACTCATTTGGTTCATGAATTGCCACACACACACATAATTTTCTAATTAATTTCATATTATTGAGATAAACTTGTTTCAGCTTCACTCTGACTCATTTCTAGTCCAAACAAACTATCAACTTGATTCTTCAAGTATTACCCTCTCTTCTAAACAGTTCTTAAAAAAAAACATAAATAATCCCTAAGTATTGAAAATCCACCAATTCAGTCCATGCGTTGATATATTTTACTGACATTGAGGCCTAATTTGGATGATTTTTGGATACTTGAGGGACTATGCAGACCAAATTAACAGTTTATTCTTCCAAAGCAAAACTTACCGGCGGTGTGATCCGATATTCTGGCTTTATAGCAACCCTAACGCCAAATCCTGCTGCAGATTCAATAGGAAAAATCATTTTCCATAAATTAGAAGAGAAACGGAAAACAAACGAAAGTAAAACCCCTAATGAATGAAGCAGATAGAGAGTTACAAGAAGGAGGAGAAGGATTCTGCTGATACGGCGACGGGCGGTACATCGGCGACGGTGGAGGACGGTACATCGGAGCTTGTGGGCCCGACCGGCTTCGGAAATCGTAGTCCATCGAACGGCTGAGAGTCACTCAAATTGCGTAAAGAAGAGTGTGCCTTCCAATTTGGGATTGGGATGAAAACTTTGTGTTTTATGTTTTTGGTTCACTAAACAAAATATATTTACTCCAATAATTGAATTTTAATTTTGACTAATCAAAATTCATGTTTCTATAGCACGGCATGAAATGAATGCGCTACGCGTTCTCATGGACAACGGAGTGCTAAAATGGAAAATCATAGATGGTTACCATTGCGCAATTTACGCGTACTTATTTATTTATTATTTTAAACTAACACCCATAAAGCCCAGTGAATTTTGTGACACGATCATGATATATATACTTCATTTTTTTTTAATAAATATACATCCTTTATATTTTATTTTTTTAAAATATTTTTTATTTTTTAAAAAAATTAATTTTACACTTTCAACTTTTAATTTACTATTTTTTTACACACTTCATTTTTCTTCTTTTTTAGTTTTCACATGTATCTCCTTATCTTTCATCTATTTCTCATTTATTTCAATAGTTAATTTTAGTTTTCTCGATTTTCATATTGCTCTCTTCTTCCGTCACATCTTTTATTTTTTACATGCACTCACATCGTGGAACTGATACATGACAACGTTATAGGCACATTCGACTTCCTTTATGGTTTTTTTCGACCTAAATGTACATTTTTTTCTTTCAACACTTCCTCTTTTACACCTTCAAAAATCTTAACATTAAATTTAATGTTATGGAAAAGACATTCGAAACACAAATCTTAACAGTAAACTTAGTATTTTAGAAATTACTTTCTGAAAGTATGTAAAATAACACACTTTTGAAAAGTACTTTTCGAAACACTAAATTTATTATTTTGAAAAGAACTGTTCATAATTATGAAAAATAACACACCTCCGTAAAGTAATATCTAAAATAGTAAAATTAATGTTCTAGAAAGTATTTTTTTGGAAGTGTGTTGTTTTATATAATTTTGGAAAATACTTTCCGAAATAGTAAATTTACAATTGTAGAAAGTATTTTTTTGAAATTATGTAAAACAATACACTTCCAAAAAATACTTTTTGAAACATTAATTCTACTATTCTGAAAAGTATTTTGTGGAACATTGAAATTATTTATGAAATACTAAAAATATTTGATGTTGTCTTTTCTAGACGTGTAAATAGGAGGAAGTCCAGTAAGTGCTAGAACAAAAAATGCACATTTGACTTGACACCACACACACTTATAATATTGTTGAAAACTAGTCCTCCCAGGTGCATGTGAAAACTTAAAAAGGAGAGAGAGAGAAGATAATAGTGTGAAAACTAAAAGAAGAGGGAGAAGAGACTAATGTAAAATCAAAATAATTAGAATTATCTACTGAAATAAATGGAGAGTAGGAGAAATGTAAAGAGGTGTATGTGAAAACTGAAAAAGGAAGGAATAAGATGTGCGAAAAAGAAGAAAAAAAATGATAAATTGAATGTTGTAGATGTAAAATTAAAAATAAAAAAATAAAGATATTTTAAAATTTTAATTATTTTTTAAAAAAGAGATATATTTATAAGAAAAGGAGGTGTATATATTAAAGCCGTCAAAATGGGGCTGTGGCCCATAGGCCAACCCAACCTTGAAAATAGGCTAGGTGTTAAATCTCAATTATACTTCTTTTTGGACAAAACTTATTGAACAATTCTACTCATTCTTTGAACCACTGCAATATAATTGTTCTCTTTTTGATCCATTTTGTGTGCAGATATAGCTAATCCATAATTTAGCTAATAATACCCTAATACACCTCATTTTTTGTGCAGGTATTGAGCTAGAGAATTGAGGATTGAAGATCCATAGGATTGGAAACCTAAGGAGCTAAGGAGCATAGAAGAGTGACTGCGTCGGGCGCAAGATGACCCGCGCCGGGCTTGAGCAGAACAGAGTGCCTTATCTCTGCAAGTCATATATGCGCCCGTCGCAAGATGACCCACGCCGGGCGTGATCGAGGCAGAGAGTAACTCAAACTCTCTGGATGACATTGCACCGGGCGTAAAAGGAAATTACGTCGGGCATGTCCTGAGGCAGATAGTGCTCAACTTCTCTGGAAGGCCCTGCGCCGGGCGCAAAGACTTATGCGTCGGGCGCGTAACCCTAATCTGACTCCTCAAGCTCGTATTTGAAGAAATTTTCGAGGCTTTGCTCCTCATTCACACATTGGACGTGTTTTAGGAGCTGAGGAAAGGATTCCCGGAGCTTGAGGCCGTTCGTGTGTGGGTCTTTCCTTCGGTTCTTCATTCTCACTTCCATCTCTATTTTTGCTTTACCCTCATTGTTTTGAGTGGTTCTACCCATTATTTTGTGGGGTTAGATGTAACCAACGAATTCTATTGTAATCCTTACGTTTTAATGATATATATATGTTGTTCCATTCATTGTTGTGTATGTTTCTATTCTTAATGCTTGCTTTGGATTGATTCTCCTTGCATGATATAGGTTCCATTGGGTATTGGAAAATAACCTTTGAAACTTGCTCTGAAACAAATGTCTAGTGGGAAATGTATCTAGGAATGGAGTTTGGCCCATTAGTAGTCTTAAACTCTAACCCGTAATGCGGGTGTAGGTATTGAATACTCAAGGGATTGATATTCATTATCCGCACCTAGGCTCTTGCTCTAAGGGATTAGGTTTGAGTAAACTTATGGGTTGACTAAGCAATGGATGTAACAAGAGATTAAGGATTCATTAGTTTAACGTTTGGTGAAATCTGATCCTATAATCTCACAAAAATCATGATACCATTTCTACCATTTTCCACTCAAAACCAAATATTTTTATAGTTAACATTCCAGTAGTTATACTCTTCAATTAATCTTCACATGACAAACTACAAATTGGAATTATTCTTTCGTCACGAATAGTCAATAAATGCTTATTTTACCTACAAATCCCTGTGGATACAATAATTTTCCTCCTTGAACGGCCGATATACTTCTCGTGTTTGAGACCGTTGATAGAACAAAAGAGATTTTAAGTGATAACAAAAATAGTTTTAACAGAAATCTCAACAAGTTTTTGGCGCCGTTGCCGGGGATTAGCAAGGCAATTTAGTATTTATAGCTATTTGTGACTTGTTCCTTTACTTTTATTGTTACTTTCCATTTTAGCAAATGAATTCTTTGAGCTGACTTGTGCACTCTAGTCTTTTGTCTTTTCTTGTATGCAAGGTATTATTCGAACCAGAGGTACTACTTCTTCTAAGCCACTGCTGAACGATCCTGATATTGAACGCACGGCAAGGAGGAATAATAGCAACAGGAGGAGAAGGAGGACTAGAGCAAATCCAGTTGGCCAACCAACCATTCAGATTCCTGAAGTTTTTGTCTCTGATATTCCTGAGTTCACTATGGAAGGTGAAGGTGGTGCTCACAATGAAAATCAAAACCGGAGGCGCACTATAGGTGATGCTTTCACCTGCACTAGCCCGAGGGAATTCTCTAGCATTGTGAGGCCTACAATGAATGATAGACTAGCAGAAATGAAGCCTGCACTCCTATAGCTTATCAGCTCTCATCAATTTTCTGATTGGATCATGAAGACCCACATACTCATCTCTACACTTTCTATGAGTTGTGTGGTTTAGTTGGAGTTTCAGGGGCTGATGAAGAGGCACTGTTCATGAGGTTGTTTCCATTTTCTCTGAATCGGAAGGCTAAGGCTTGGCTTCACTCTCAGCCAAACCAAAGCCTGACCACTTGGAGGGATGTGGAGACTAAATTCTTAGCCAGGGTCTTTCCCCCGTCCAAGAACACTGAGGCCAGAACTGCTATTGCTACTTTTGCTCAAGGTGCGGATGAGCCATTATGTGAAGCATGGGAGAGGTACAAATCACTGTTGAGGAGGTGCCCTAACCATGGTTTTAAGGTGGAGCTTCAAGTGCAAACTTTCTGTAATGGGTTACAACCTCAAACCAAGATGATATTGGATGCTTCTTTTGGAGGGTCAGTTATGTTCAGAACCGCTGAAGAGGCTATTACCATCATTGAGTCCATGGCCTCCACAGACTTTAGGAGCCAGCATGGCAGAAGCTCTTCACACAAGAGGGGAGTTTTGGAGCTTAGACTCAAGATGCAGTGTTAGCTCAAAACAAGATACTTTCCCAACAAATTGAAGCCTTGAATCAACAAATGGCCAAGCTACCTCAACAACTTCAAGCTATGCAATCTAATGCTCCTCCTATGCAACAAGTTTTGTCATGTGATTTTTGTGGAGGTGACCACCCTAATGGTTATTGTGTCGGATCATCTAGTTCCCAAGGCGAAGAAGTGAATTATATGGGAAATCAAGGCGGCAAAATTTCTCTCAACACCCCTATCCTCAGAATTCAAATCAGGGGTGGAGAAATAATTATGGTGGAAACAAACCAGATATGAATGCTTCATCAAGTAGCAGGCCTCCACATCAACACCAACACCCACCTTTATATGAGAGGACCACCAATTTGGAAGACACGTTGCAACAATTCATGCAATTGTCTATGTCCAACCAAAAGATCACTGATGCTTCAATTAAAAATATGGAGATACAGGTGGGGCAAATAGCAAAGCAGCTAGCAGAGCAGCAAAAAGGTTCTTTCTCAGCCAACACCGAGCAAAACTCGAAGGGACACTTGAATGTAGTATCTACAAGGAGTGGTCGGGAGTTTTTAGTGAAGAATAGTGAGAAGAAGAATGAGAGTGAGGAAAAAAATGATATGGGAGTAGAAGATGATGCTAGTGTTGATGAGGAGATCATCCTAGAGGGCCCAGGAGTATGGAGAAGGAGTGAAGGAAGAGAGTTGGTTGATAAGAATAAAATGAAAAAGGAAAATGACAAAAAGAATGAGAAAGAGAAAGAAATTGAAAGAGAAAAAGAAGGAGTTAGTAGAGGGAAAAAGAAAGCATCCATGGAGGAGAGGAGTATTGTAAAGGTGCCACCCACCAAGAGCCTACCATATCCTCATGCACCTTCAAGAAGAGATAAGGAGAGGCAATATGCTCGGTTCTTAGAGATTTTCAAGACCTTGCAGATTAACATTCTGTTCTCCGAGGCATTAGAGCAAATGCCTACTTATGCCAAGTTCATGAAGGAGCTCCTCACCAAGAAGAGAAAATATTTTGAAGAGGAGACCATCACATTGGAGGCGGGGTGTAGTGCTATCATTCAGAAGATGTTGCCAACAAAATCCAAGGACCCTGGTAGTTTCACTCTTCCAGTCACTATTAGGAGTTTAGCTATTGGGAA